TATTATTCGAAAATATGGGAATAGCTGAAGATGCATGCCTAAGATGAACCGCTTCTGCTCGAAACGGAGAGAAAGTTGAAAAAAGCATTAAATGTCATGCAAGCACATGTGGCATTGAGACAGTGTGGTACACATTTCAGCTTTGTCATAGCGTACAGGAAAATCATGTGTTCCAGTGATGTGATCAGAACTGTTCAAAAGTAAGTCATCCAGAAAAAGAAAATTTTGAAACCTAGTACAACAAAATGGACGTATAGCGATCTGAACTATTAGAAAGGAACCTATTTCATTAGTTCATCGAATACCATTGTCGCGCTGTGATACATGCCAATAAGCTTTTTCTCTTCTGAGCTCTTGGACTTTTGTCTGTTTCAATTCATGATGCAGTCTACATTGACCACATATGTAACCTGCATGCAGATATAGCACCGTTAAACCTTCTCTTAACCAAACTCGAGATTTCGGTGCTTGTTGAGGCTCATCTTCCAAACGGGCCAATCACAATGGTTTACCTACTCTACCGATGACTCGTTATCTTGAGAAGTTAAGGTGGTTACGGGTGCTGCTCTGGAATCAACAGTGATTGCACACTTCCTGGTTTGATAGCCCACTAACCTGCAGAACCTTAAGACAGCTTTGGAGCTTACCCCTTAGCAAATTCATCATACTGCGACATTGCATCAGACATGTGACAGGTCAAAAGGATGTGCTACAAAAAGGTACTTCACACCGTCAACGGTGACGTCATCACGGCAATCATCGGACTCATGAAAAAATGCTGTATAACACTAATTATTTGCTTTACCCACAACTTATTCTACGTCAGGCAAAATCAGTAGTTACCCAGTTGACGTTCATTAAGCTGCTGACCAGAATCGACGGTTGCCGGATGTGAGCGTTTCCTTTGTGACCAGGATTCTTAAGAGTCTCACTAAACGGTCTGTCATCATGCACACATAGTTATTGATGAGCTAACTGCGTTGCAGATCACCCTAATTTTACTATGCTCTTTGTATATATTGGATTTTTGTCTGGTAAAAAATCTGCACATGTTCTGGCAGATAAGATATCTTCCTTCATGGCTTCTCTTGGTACTTGATTAAATTTTTAAGTTTGTT